AGGGGGCAAAACTGTGCAGAGAGGAACACATGCGAGTGAACCTGAAGTGGGAACGCTACCATGCACCCGGCTTTTAGAATGGGGGAGAACCGTGCCCTTTCTGACAGCCCTTTCAGCAGAAAAGGTCACTGATCACGGTTGGGAGTAGGGTGTGACTTAGAGCAGAGGAAGAGGACTGGAGGCAGATGAGCCAGGAGGCTGCAGCTACTTCAGGTGAGAAGACCTGAGTCTCTATGTCATCCCCCCCCCCTTTTTTTTTTTTTTTTTTTGGGCTGGGTGTTTTTTATTGTCGGGGTCGGCAGGGGAGAGGTTTTTACTATAGGGTGCGTGCGCTTGCCAGAAACGCAGAGACAGAGAGACAGAAAGTGAGATATCACTCCCTGGGGGGGAGGGGGGGAAGGCCATGCCACAATCCCTTTTTCTCCATTCTCCTTTCAGGATCTTGGGCACACATGCACATGTGCTTGGAGGGAGTTTAAGCCACCGGGCCTGGGCTTTGAACCACGGTTGACTGCATGGGAGTCCAGTGACATAGCCATTATGCCAACTGCTAGTCCCTATATGTCATTGTGAGGGACAGAGGGACACCGGAGCCGGGGCTCTGGGTGTGAATGCTGCTGGTTCACAGTTGCCAAGGGAGGGACAGCTGAGAGAGGGGACACACAGCAACTGTTCTCCTTCCACTGGGACGATTGGGAGGAGCACTTAGGGGCAGCCCTGCAAGGCTGCTTCCATTCAACCCGGGACCACCCATGACCCAGTCTCGGCCCAAATGATAGCCCAAGCATGAAGCAGATGCTGAGAGCCACAAGCACAATCCTCAGCCTGACGAGGTGACAGCCCCAGCACGTGGAGGACCTCACACACCTCCTGCTACTGAGTATCACCAGGACTGTAGGATGGTACGGGGAACCCAGGATGCACACGGTGGCTACCGACAGTGGAACCTGCCCAGAGCTGGCGGCCTGTGGAATCCCACAGGGGGTCTCAGCCTTCCCTGCTGTGTCGGTGGGTAAGGGCTCTCACAAGTTCCTCCCCACGACAGGAATCATCAAGGCTCAGGGAGGCCTGGAAGTGAATGGAGAAATTCTCTCCCCTTCTACAGTCTTGGTGTAGATCCCACCAGAAAACAGAGTCTGAGATGAGGGTTTGTTGGCAAATAGCTGGATTTGAAAGTGATCCCTGGGAACACAAGTGGAGGCCCAGGAGAAAACGAGAGCGGAAGGTAAAGCAAGACAGGTGCCTTTTGGAGTTGGTGACCAGTGCGCACCACTGAGGCGACCTGTGGAACTATGAGCAGAACAAGGAGTGCTGTCTTACCCAGAATGCTGCCCCGGCCCTGGGCCCCCACACTGAGGCTGGGGCTGTGGGAGGGCTGTGAGTATGTGTGACCTTAGACACCACCTGCACATTGGTGCCTGGAGGAAGAGGGCTGGGACCCGGGCCTTCGCCTGGGACCCACCGCTGTGTGTCCTGTGTCCTCCTTCACCATGCCCCCACACACTCTAGTTTGTACCAATCATTGAGAGGCCTTTACCTCTACCATCCCTACCCCCCAGCAAGTACCCGAAAGTCTTCTAAGTCGGTAAAGGCCGAGCCCAAATGGCCCATTCCTGGTGCCCATCCTAGATATCTGGTGGCCTCATGGCAACGGGCTGCATTCATCCTCTGGTGGCCTTGTGACAATGGACTGACCCTCTTTTTTTTTTTTCGCCTCCAGGCCAGAAAGCACAGGGTGCTGCCTGCGGTCTCGCTTGGCCTCTGCCGCTAGGTGCCTCTACCAACCCTGCTCCGTGGCCTGTGAGCTGCGGTCTCCTCTGCAAGGTCCCCTCAGACTTCATCCAAGGAGACTCCTGGATGCAGCTCTCCTGCAGGGTTAGCTTCAGGACAGGCGTTCTCCACAGCGGCTGGGGCTCTCCGCGCCTGGCGGTCTCCCACTGCTCTCACCCAGTGCATGTGTTCAGCACTCCCCACAGATGATCACCCAGGGCAGGGCAGGCCCTGCTGCACTTCTGCAAACCTCCTGCACTGTGCGAAGTCACTCCACACAGGGAGCCCATCTAGTTGGTTTTTCTTTGAAGTAACAATGGATTTTGGAAGCTAAAAAACGAGAGCCCACAGAACCATGACCACTGCCAGTGAATGCTGAGATTGCTCGTCACACTCCTCAGGAAGTGTGCCCACTCAGCTTGCTCGTGGTTGATCAGAGGCCAGTCTCCAGGGGTCAGATCAAAGCCTGGGCAAGCTGGGAAAAACTGCTAAGGGAAAATTAGTGGACTGTTACATTTAAGCCCTCAACTATTGCAAACTTAGGAACTCATACACCTCAATTTGGCTCTGCCTATAACATGACCAGATATAAATATGAAGGTAGTCAGGCAGAATTAAAGGTGAAACACAACACCCACCGGCTGTGTTCCCACTGGGGCAATTATACAGTCAGAAAACCGACAGCCTGCTGGGGGAGGAGGGGAACAAAGACCTCCTACTTGTATTAGGGTAGAGTACGGCTTTGATGGAGACTGGGGGTGCATAAAATTGTTTTCTTTCATATTTTATTACATCAATGGCTTGAAAATTTTTATTTAACTTCAGCAAATATTGGAAATAGAAAAATGAATTCTGCAGAATTTCACAAATAAGTTTTCCAATTTCCACTAACAAATGTTATCATTCAATGGCTAAGCAATTATAATGCTATGAACATTCACCACAATAAATGTGCTGAAATAGAAAACAAGCAAAGAGACATTAAAATATTACTTACAACAGCATTATTACAACATATTTTCTTTAAAATTCCAACATGGATTTTATCACTTCAAAAGATATACAGCATTTCCGTTATATTTGCAAACTTAACCTTATACATCTTTTAAAATTTTGAAAAATTTTAAGCAATCTAAAAAGCACTTAGCAAAGTTGGTAAGTCTACATAATGGAATACTATCCACTCCAGTATAAATTTTCGTTTTAGGAGAAGGTGACTGTAAACACTCATTATCATACAACATGCATAGACTGTACTGACCTTCCTTCTGAGTTGCAACATTACTGCAATTGTGCTTTACTACAGTTAGGAAAAGCTGCAGAGGTGCAGGGAGTGGTAGCAGGGCACTGCACAGGAGCACGGGGCTCAGATGACCTATCAACTTGGAGTCAATCTGAGGCAAAGTTTCCCTTGATAGTAAACACTTGTATCCTGGGTCACTAGATTTATAAACAGGCTGGACAAGAGAGAAAAAAGAGGCTCTCATCAGAGTTGGCTCCATTTCTCCTCTGCTCACATGAAAGCAGGGATCCAGTTAGTGTAATGCACTATTTGGCTTATTTTTGGTATGCTATTATACCAATAGTACATCTGATATTTAGAAAGACAAAAATAGGGTATAGTCGAAATTTAAAGTGACAAGGAGCACACTTAATTGTGGTGTGTGATATCTGAGGAAACTTTTTATAAAAAACAGAAAGCGACTGCTTACTCAGTCTGCCAGAGCAAGCTTTTAAAATTCAACTACTTTTTCGATCTTCGTTGATGAGCAGTTTATGACTAACTAAAGGTCTTACAGTTTACAAATTGTCAAAACCCATTTTGAGGGGGCAGCGTCTTGACCAACATACAAGATAACGTGGGGGTGTGTTACACGAACCTCCAGCTCTGGCCAACACCAGAGCCCAACCGCACACCACCATTCACCTAACCTAATCAGCACAACTGAGGAGCCTGTGCGACTTCCCATCAGAAGAGCTAGATATACTACAGAGTTCATTGATCACTGTTGCAGAGAGTGAAGTCAACACAATATTCAAGTAACAAGGTGTTTAAATGGATAAATGAACAAAATTTTTCCTAACACTTTACACATCTACATAAAATTAAATAAAACAAACTTTTAATGCATATGCAATACAATTTATGCCTTTTAGAATTTCTAAACTAAAAGTTAAACTATTATTTGCATCAATGATACTATATTTTGCACAATAACTTATACTTAGGAGAAATTTCCACAAAAATATATAATTATGACATTCACATTGATAGTTTTAAGAAGACAAAGCTTAAGTGAACATTCTGTCTGAAGCAGTCATCCCGTCCCCAAAGACGTCTGAGCACGTCACCCCGTCCCCAAAGGCTACCTGCCAATGCACCTAATTCTTGATATGTTAAAAGAATCTTCACATAAATAAGATCAACACCACTTAACTTCTAAAGCTAAGTGATTTCTTGCATTTACATCATTGCAAAGACAGTGTAATGAAAACAAGTTTAAAACACAGTGCTATCTCTCTGATGCATGAAACAACACAGGCAGTCGGGCAGAGACTACACCCTGTTCCCCTCTGTCAAATGAAATGACATGCCCCTCTCCCTTGGAGCAAAGCTCAACTCAGCTGCTGGGATCACAAGTATACCAGCACGATGATTCCTCAGGGCCAGCGGCCATCCAGTGCCAGAAACCGAGTAAAGGGATAGTGCAGAATACAGATAAATGCCCAGCACTGTCAGCCTGCTTGCCGTGCTGCATGAGAATCAGCATCAAGCTCCCAAGCACTGCCAAGAGGGACCAGTTCTTAAGGAAAACAGCCTGGATGTGAAGGGAGAAGCAGATTCCCTGGCAGAATGAAGGCCCACTCCTTCAGGGAACAGGAAGGAGGACTGGAGAGAAGCAAGGAGAACCTGAGGCCTCCATTCATGCTGTAGTGTCCCCTTCTTTACATGACGTGCAAAACTTAGACTGGCTCCTTCCCCAGAGCTTTCCTGCCACCCTCAACTGGCAGCTTCTGATAAAAACCCAAAGACGACCCTGCCTTGTTACTAGTGTTACTCTGCTGCCCCTGTCTCCAAGTAGGGATGGCCAGCTGTGCTCCCCTCGGGTGGTTTTCTTCACAAGCCTTCACTTAACCAACAGACACCTGGCTTAAGGACAAGGCGCTAACAGCCAGGAAAGTTCTGGTCTACTGCCCTTTTCAATGGCCTTTCTCCAGACTTGTTAAAAAACAAAACAAAACAAAACAAAAAAACAGTTCACCAAAACCCAGGATTATAGCTGACACACTTTCTAAACAGAAAATCAGCTGACTTAAAAATAAAAACAAGGTGCTTGGGAGTCAAAAATATTAAAACTTTAATTGCATATTTTAAATTCTTAAGAATTCTGACTATGTATGCCTTAAAGCATTTTTTTTTCCTTCTTCTTCTTTTTGGTATTGAAAGCAGAAAAAAGATTTAAATGATGCAAACAACAACAAAAGCTATTTCTACATATTTAGTGCAGTCTGAACTGGCCATGGGTGGGAACAGGCTCTGCTAAAATGCAGTTTGATAGTCTGCTCCTCCAACCCTCAGCAGGCCCAAACAAAGTAAGAGAACAAAAGTGATTCTGGAAGTCTCTGAACATTTATTAGGAAAATTCACTTGTTCCCGGTCCAACCAAAGGCATGATGTGCCATGATGTAGGCTCATGGGTCAGCACACTGACCCCTTCTCTCCTGGACTCTGATATGAAAACAGAGGGCGTGGTGTTTGTGTGATCACATAGTACATGAGGGACACAAAAGAACAGATGAGGGACATGTGAAAGGCCAGGCATACCACGAGACTGGGGAACGAGCCGTGTGTAGCTTCACAGAACAGTCTCCAGCTATTCTAGTGGCCTCTACTGAGCTAACCTGACACTCCAAATCTGCCTGTCAGACCTGTAGCAAACGCTCCTGTCTCGTAATCTCAGTGATGTCATCTTTGGCAAGCAATAAACTTTAACAAAGAAATAAGACACTAAAACAGAAAAGGATTGATAATATGGTTGCCAAAAGGAGAAGGCACCAATTCCAAATGTACAAGCACCAGGTACAGTGATATGGACTGAATCTCTTGGAGTTGGGTGGTGGTGGTGGTGGTGGTAGGGGGCATCAGGAAAAGATGGGGTGTGTCTACTGGGGGGTTGCAATGCTGAACGTTGAAGGCAGAAAGCGCTGGGGCCCACGTTCCCTTTAAGCTGCAGTGTCTAAGGACAGTTGCTGTGAATGGGTTTGTTCCCACTTGGGAAGGGGGGAGGCTAAGTCAGCTAAGTTCATGAACCATAATTATACCCTCTATTAGGGCAGAGTGAGCTTCATTGGGATGTTCAGCACGGACAGGTTATGATGCAGTCTGCTAATGTATTCTGATTTCTGAAGATCAAGCATGATATCATTTAGGTGGTGGCCTCAGGAGAGAACAACAGAAACTTCCGAGAAGGCCAATGGGGTCACAGTTACTCTGAAAATTACATTATGCACAAAATAAAACTTGCAGGCCATGCAGGACCAGAGCCGTGCCTTCTGAGTTCTACCTGTTTTGAAGCTGACTGGGAAGAGCTGCCAGTGGTGGGGCTCAGGGGTTCCGCCTGGGGAGGCAGTTCCCAGAGTGACAGGAGGGGTACAGGCCCAAGTTGTCCCCAGCACTTCAGCAGAGTGTGAGAGATGCAACAGAGCCTCTGGGAAGTGGCGCCAACATGGAGGAACGAGCAGGGAATTAAGGCAGATGTAGCACGGCCTGGAAGTGTATGCCTTTTTGGTAATAGCTGCTTGTCCACAGAGATGTGATGCAGATGGCTAGGTGATGTCTCGGAATACCTGATATCCTGGATAACACAGTAGTCCAAACCGAGTGTTCAAAGTTACCAGAGTTCTCATGAGGCAGATGCGTATCTGACGTCAAGAACAGAAGCAGCCTGAGGAGCAAAGAAAAAAATGACAACTAAGGTGAACAACACAAACGGTGATTCTAGCGCATTGGAAATGGGGAGAGAGTACACACAAGCCTACAGCAAATGTCTGGGAGCAAATAAAGCATGCCGCTGTCACTCTGCATGCTCCTGAGGGCGGGGCAAGAGTGTGGCCTCTGTAGCCAGTTGTCTTGGGGTCAAATCCTGGCTCTGCCACATTCTAGTTGTGTGACATTGGACCAGTTACCATTTCTTTTTGAGCTTTGGTCCCTCATCTGCAGAATGTCACAACAAGGATGCCCACGTCACAGGATTAAATAAAGCTACCCAAGCAGGGCGAATCAGCATGAGGCCTCACAGACAGTAATGCTTGGTGGCCTAAGTAAAGCCCGCAACTGTCACTGGCTAGAGGGTGCGATGGCACCAGCTCATTTGGCAACTACCAC